GCAACAACAGCAGCAGCAACAACAACAACAACAACAACGACAACAGCAACAACAGCAGCAGCAACAACAACAACAGCAGCAACAACAGCAACAACAACAGCAACAACAACAGCTGCAGCAACAACAACAACAGCTGCAACAACAGCAACAACAGCAACAACAACAACAACAGCTGCAACAACAGCAACATAACAACAGCAACAGAAGGAAAAATAGCCACAACAAGAAAAACAACAGCAGGAGAGGAGCAAAAACAACAACAATAACAACAACTGCTACAGCAATATTGGCGACATGATGTATTTTTACTTTCATTAATGAAAACCAACCTTGACTTGTTCATTGGATGTAATAGCGCAGAACACAATCTCTGTGAAGTTCTGTGAGGGGAACATCCTGAAGCAAATGCCTCCTATTGGACGATTATCCTTAACGAGAGCCAAGGTCTTGTGTTTACTAAACAGTGGTAAAATAACAGCAATTTTACAATAATAGAGCGTATTCTCTCAATCTGATTGGCTGACAGATATGACCAATAAGAGGACAGAAACATAGAATGACGAATCGCTCGCGCACGGAGCCAGCGCGCGATTGAAACTGTTTTTCAATCGATTGAAAAGGTTTACTTTGATCACTCAGTGTATCTGAATTCAATGCTTCATTTTACAGGGTTTGGAACAGTAGAAAGTTTAGGAAATAATAACCCAAAAAAGTCAAAGTGTTCACGGTTTGAGCGTGGTCCTCAGTCTTAATAGAGACCTTTAGCATCAGGTTAACCGCTAACCACTAGGGTTTTTGTGTCCGTATCAGCAAAATTTTACGAAAACGGATATGTGCGGACGGTGAAAACGATTCGAATACGCTGCGTGTGGACGCAAACATTTTCGTATCCGCAAAAAATAATTTGCGAATACACAAATTTCCGGATACGTGTGGACGGGACCCGAATGTCTAAAGTTTGACACTTGACACGAACTGCAATTTGAGGTTTGCGGTACTTATCGACACGAGTGAAATACATCTGCGCATGCTCAAATCCGTATGCAAATTAGTCTAAACGTCTTCATGCTATTGTAAAAATATGTAAATTTGATTTTCAAACATGCCTGATAAATTGGACTTCGCAAAATGCCAAAACATTAGTCTCCATACTTGAAACTTAAGGCTAATTTTTTCATATTGTGTTTGTTAATACAGTATCTTGGTCTGACAAAAGTATGCTCGCGGAATTTTTAGTATACTTGGAGAAAACAAACATTTATTTTCTCACTCAAACTCTTCTAAATTCTTAGAAAACGTGCTGGAACGCACGCATGCGCTCAAGGTCTCTAATATAACAATACTTACGGGTCAAAGACCAGTCGACTGATATACTCCTTAGGCATTCTGGGTAACTGGTACGAAAACACGTTCTGAAGTCCTATCAGCCATAGTAAAGTCTGATTAGAGGGGGTTCTTCGTAATGAGTTCCCAACCACGTGGAATTCGATCACTCCCCGTCGTTCTTCGCATCGCGCATGCTCGTCACGTGCGCTCTGTGCTCCGGGGTATAAGCCACCCTGGTGGCAAATACGAGAAAAACATTATTAGTTTTATTTAACGCACTTTTGTTGTTACTCTACGAATATTCTGGAAGCTGGATAACTAATTAGAGAACATTTATTGAAGATTAACTTGAATGAAATATTAATACTCCGTTTTACAGTTCCGTTCAGTGACCACAAATATTACTTTATTCTTACTGATTTTCGCGAATACCAATTTTTTAAAAAATACCGCAAAATTTAATACGCGCGAAAAATATCAGAAATTAAAATCAGTTATTAGAATATTCCTTTGTCTTGCAAGTCATATCATACCTCAGGTCCCAGCATTGACGATGGATCATCGATGACTTCTACAAATTTTTTCAACACATCTAATGAAACTTCACCTGCAAAATGAAGAAACAACGCATATGTAAGGCCGAAATGGATAGATGGATGGATGGGATGAGATGGGGGGTAGATGAATGCACAGAGGAATAGTCAGACGAATGGATGGGTGAAGACAAGGGACGAATGAGGGGAACGAAGAGAGGGAAGGAAAGGGAGGGAGGAAGAGAGGGAAGGAAAGGGAGGGAGGAAGGGAGGGAGGAAGAGAGGGAAGGAAAGGGAGGGAGGAAGAGAGGGAATGAAAGGGAGGGAAGATGAGAGGGAAGATAAGGAATGGAAGAAGGGAGGGAATGAAAAAATGAAGGAGTGGGGAGGAGGGGACGGCTCTATACAGGTATTCAGACAGTTCATCACCTGCCAATTTAGGTTTCTTGGCCGAAGTTTCAGCATCATCGTCATCTTCATGAGGTCGCTTGATCCCACTGAGCTCTAAATGTATAACATATATTAACCATTCAGTTAGTTAAATCTGACTAACTTAATATTAGTGTTCTAGTAACTAGTTCTAGTTGTAAAGGCATTAGACAAAATATCGTATGACTGTAAAAAAAAAAAAAAAAAATTAAAAAAAAAAACAACAAAAACGTATGGTATAGCTGTGGATATGACATCAATTGGTCGGAAGCAGAGGTTGAACCAGCGGAAGTGGGCCGAGGCTTGCTACATTATCCGAGGAGGGAAAATCATAGCTAATGATTTTCATAATAGGGACAGTGGAAGAACACTACCAAAGTGGTATAAGCCTCTATAAAACTTATATTTATAAAACTTTGAATTCGTCAATAGCCGTTCTTATTCCACTCTAAGAGAAAATTTAAGTGGCACTCCCGCTAAGAGCGGTCCGGTGAATTTGGGTTCGCAAAATCGATTCTCTTTATTTTTTGTGAGTGAAAAGCCTTTGGTATACATAAACTAAAAATAAAGTTTTTTTTTTGAAATTATATTTTTGGGCTTCGTTACACGCCAAAACATATTTTGCCCGTGTCTGGCTATTTGGAGAGCTCACTCGATGGTTGCATTTGGGTAAAATTAAGAGAGCTGCCGACTCAAAACTATTATGTATTTCCAAATTTTAGCTACACTGTTAACTTCAGATACTTTTCATCTACTCTTCAAAGAAGATTGAAAGTATTTGGTTGAAACATAAATTTATTGGACTGCCTAAAACACATCCCTGTTTCGAGCTTTCATCGAGGCGTCAAAAATACACTAAAAATATGATGATGTAAAATTTCGAAAAGGGGACCTCAAACTGAGCTAAATTATACTTGGCTTTCAAAATATACTCTTATTTTTACAGGATCAGAAGTGAAACCTGCGGGTATCGAGCGGGTTTTGTCGCGAGCGAAAATTTATCGAAGTCCGTGATCGACAAAATTTGCATATTTCTAACAAATTACGCTGTCGAATTTACATGCGCTTAAAACGATATACGGTAATTCTGGCTAGAAATGTGCCTTAAAATCAGATAACAAATGTCTGAGCTAGTGAAAAATGAAAAGTAAAAAGAGTCTTATCGAAAAATAACATTGTATTTTCTTGAAT